TTTTTTTTTTAAGTTTAAGGAGTAAATGATAAGAGACAACTTATCACTATGTACAGGAAAAAGCAAAGGACACTGTTTGCCATTTAAGAAGACTGCTCTGTATGTCATACCTCGGGGGGAGAAGACAAGGAAGCTCTGTCAGGCTGGTTGACTTTGGTTTGCACATCTTGCAATAAGAGTTCCGCTAGAAGCACAAGCAAGAAAACTGTAATACCATGAAATTGTTTCAAGGAATTTTAAGTGAGCATTCTATATGCATATATAGCCATGACCAGGGAGAAAGGATTACAAATAGTCATCACAGAAAATCCGATATTCCTGCCACAGCTCTTACACATTCTAAGTGTAGGTGGTCATACCGCGCTTCCTCTTAGATGTGGCAATTTAAAGGGTAAAAATATATACGTACAAATTCAAAAGTCATAACTGAATGTTTGGCTGACTGAAAACTATCTAAAACCCATAAAATACGGACTTAGAGCTACTCCTCCCTCCTGGATCACTGGGAAAGGATGGCTCCCTCGTCACTGTGAGAGAAGTGAATGTGTAGAACATTCCTCCCTAAAGTGGATGCAGCACTAGTCTCTGAAATGATCTAACTCAGCATCAGTGACAACAAGGGCTCCTAAAATATACCAATCCAGTTGGAACTTGGATCATACCTTTATAATAAATAACAATAATTAAACAAACCCAGAGATGGAAAAAATGTGTTATAAAATTCCTGAGAGGTAGGAACTACATTTGAGCAATTGTGGTCATTCCCACAGTGCCTAGACCAGTCTATATCTTAGAATATATGCGCAATTGATGTTTGCAGAATGAATAAACAATAATGAGGCAGGCCACAGGTAATTACATACCAATCTTTACTGCTTCTTCTGCCTTTTTAACTTCATTTTTAAATGCTCCTTTAAAAGAAGATGTGACATACAGATATTTTCTGAAAGAAAAAAGAAAACATAATCAAGTCAGATTATCATTTTAAAATTTAATAACACTATATACTCAAGAGATACAAAAATATTAAGAAAGATTCATAGAGTAAGTTGCATCCAGCTGATAAATCAGAAAACTTTAGGCCTAAAAAGAAACTCCTTACCATTTAATACTTGAAAATTTTGGTTTTTTTATTTTACTGATTCAGCTGACATTGGTTAATAAAATTATATAGCTTTCAGGTGTACAATTCTATAATAAATCATCTGTATATTGCAATGTGTGTTCACCACCCCAAGTCAAGCCTCCTCCCATCACCATTTATCCCCCTGCACCCTCTCCTACCCCCCAACACCCTTTCCCGCTGGTAACCACCATGCTTTGCCTGTGTCTGTGAGGTTTCTCTCCCTTAATCCCTTCACTTTTTCTACCCATCCCCCCAACCTCCTTCGCTCTAACAGCTGTCAGTCTGTTCTCTGTATCTATGAGTCTGTTTCTATTTGGTCTGTTGGTTTATTTTGTTCATTAGATTCCACATATAAGTGAAAATATATAAACCTGTCAGAAAAAGACAAGTACCATATGATTTCACTCGTATGTGGAATTCAATGAACGAACTGGACTAACAAGCAAAACAGAGACAGATTCATGGACAGAGAGCAGGCAGAGCTCTGGTGGGGGGTTTGGGAGTGGAGGGATTGAGCAAAAAAGAAAAAAAGAAAGAACTCATGGGCACGAACAACAATGTGGCGATTGCAGGGGCGTGGAACAGAGTATAGCGGGGATAAATGGTGATGGAAGGAGACTTGACTTGGGGTGGTAAACACTCAATATTATAGAATTGTACACCTGAAACCAATACAATTTTATTAACCAATGTCACCCAAATAAATTCAATAATAATTTTTAAAAATAAAGTAATTTCAATAAATAAATATTTTTTTAAATCTCTGCCCACACAAATGTTCACTTATACATAAAATAGGATAATTTTCACATAAAAAATGTCTATGCAACTGCTCCATTATCAGCGTTTCTGGTTGACACACATAACCCTCTCTCCCAGATCATCACTGATACCGGGTTAACTGCTTCTCCCAGTCCCCAGTCATCTTTAACTGAAATGCTCAGAAACACATATTATCACTTTAAACTATTAAATCATATTTCCTACTTCATTACCAGTGCTTTAGTGAGAGTAAAGACGCTCTAGAACAATCAAGGAAGTGAAAAATATATACACCCATAAACTCAAACTCAAAGGGAGCACAGTACAGGTGAGAAAAGCACTGCGGAATGGAGCTGAAACTATGTGTACCTGTGATACAGCCTTCCTGGAACCCAGGATTTAAAATTTTGATTTAAGTCATCATGGAGAGAAAATTCCAGAATATTTGGTTTGAGAATGCCCAAACCTCTGTACACCTCATTTTATCACTTTTGCCTCATATCTACTGACTCGGTAGCTCTCCATTCTCTAATACCTTCATGTTTAGAAAAGGCATCACATTTTCAACAAGAGTTAGGTGAAAACCTATAGATCATTTCTGGAAACCAAATTGTCTTAAGACATATAAAGAGAGGTGTTTGCTCAGGGAGAGTCTAAATCTATATGCTCCAATGAGTCTATGCCAAGTAGAGGTAATACATGGCCCATGTGCCAAATTGGGCCAGCAGCTTGTTTTTGATTGTCTAAGATCTAAGAATGGTTTTTCCATTTAAAGGATTTATATATATAAAGGTAAAATATGCAAACGAGGCTGAGTGTAACCAGAGATTTACTATGAGGCCTTTTACAGAAAAGGTTTGCCAACCCCCTGAATCCATGCTAATAGTAATGGCTTTTAAATGATAGCTTGATCTAGAATTGCCTTTATATATTCTGACTTTATGTACACAGTAATGCAAATTTTTCACAAACAGGTTATATGTAATGTAAATGTTTGTTAGCTGGAGTCTGTTTAAGGCTCTCTTCCATTATCTCAACAGCAGCAGTACAGATACACTCAAGACAGAACACCTTCATGATTCAGCAGTAAGAGCTGGACTGCTTGGAGCCCATCTGCTAAGGTGTAGATGGGCCCCTTCTTCGTAGTGTAAGACTGGGAAAATTACTTCATTTTCTGTAATTTCATTTCATTATCTGTAAGAAAAGGATACCTGAATGGTAGCCATGGTATCTATCTCAAAAGTTGTCATGAGAACTAAAGGTGTCAATACAGCTAAAGAACATAGAACAATGCTGATTTGGAGAAAGTCAGTGATTTTCAAATGGTGTGCTACAAGAGTTTGTAAAACATGCAACACCTGACTATTTAGTCAGGGGCACTGACCTCTTTTCCCTCAGATTGTCAAATTAAAAAAATGACAGCAGCCAATACAACAACAGCTGTCAGTATAAATGAATCAAAATTATACCTATTTTTTTGTCAGATTGGCAAAAAATATATTTTTTGGTGTGCTGCAGAATTTTAGTAATTATTTTATGTGTGCCATGAGATGAAAAAGGTTGAAAATCGCTAGAATAAGTACTTAATGTGTTATTATTATCTAATAAAAACATATTAACTACATACTCCCTCAATGTGTGTTCAGAGGAAAAATGCATTGGGAATGAGGAAATGAAATGAGCAGCTGGATAAATTCCTTTCCTTTTAAGAATCTTAAGTATTGCCCTAGCTGGTTTGGCTCAGTGGTGAGAGCGTCGGCCCGTGGACTGCAGGGTCCCGGGTAAGATTCCAGCCAAGGGCACGTGCCTCGGTTGCAGGCTCCACCCCAGTTGGGGCGAGAGTGGGAGACAGCCAATAGATGTGTCTCTTTCACGTCATCATTCCTCTCTCTCTCCCTGCCCTTCCACTCTCTCTGGGAAGCAATGGAAAAAATATCCTCAGGTAAGGATTAAAAAAAAAAAAGAATCTGAAGTATTTGTAGAAGTCTGCCCAGTTACCTGCATGAAAAAGCTTAATGTTAAAAAAATAACTAAGTGTCATCCTAAATTCATCTACTTCAATGGTTTAATGAACAAGTCAGTGAGGGTGTGGGCTCCAAGCAGTCCAGCTCTTACTGCTGAAATGAAAAGGAAATGAAAAGACTATCCCAGAAGAATAGTGTTGCAGAGTATTCAAGAGCAGGCCGTAAACGTAGTGTCCCTGAAAAACTTAAAAAAGGACCGTGCTGTTCCAAAGAAAGCAGGGTGAATCCAATTCCATGTCCTGGGGGCTCCTTTCAGTATTACTGGTCCATGGCAAAGCAATGTTAATGAAAAACGAAGATCTTCCAACAGACACTTTGGTGCTGGTCTCCCTTAGTGACCATTTTATGTCCACACGCAGTGATTTAATGTCTATGTAAATCTGAGGCTTATTTTCCTACTAAAGTTAAAGAATTCAAAGCCAAAGAAATCAGTAATGTCTGTTGCTAAGATTAAGTAATACAGCTATATACTAACTTGTCTGTATTATATAAACAGTATTTAAAACTCCAAGAATTACAGACTTATAAAATCTTTAAGTTGAAAGAGACCTTAGAAATCACCTAGCTGAAAGTCTTCCAAAAGTAACAATACTTTCAACAATATAGACTCTTCCAGGAGCAAATTTGCCCTTATCTTGGAGGAAAAGGCCTTCCGTTGCTGATGAGTGTGAACTTAATCTCATGCCACACCATGGCCCTCTCTGAGTTGCTATACCTCAGGCCAAATGTGTCTGGGGAAACTAAATGTGCCATCCTGGACACACTGGATTTCATATTCTGGACTTTACACCTGGAAACTGTACCAGAAACAGACTGGTGTACAACCAAAGGAAGATATGTGAGCAATCAAACCCCTGTGAGGCGTCTTGTCCTCTAATTCTGTCCCATAGGAAAGTTTTGAATTAGGGAACAAACAGGTAGATTTATAGAGAAAGTCTGAGGCTTGATATGCTTCATTTTTGATAATATGATCTGCAAATCAAAAGTAATTAGAAATCAAAAGTAAAGCTTCTGAGGAATCCATTGGTGTGTGGTCAGGGTATACAACTAAGAGATCTAAATTTTTAATATTAATATTGGTATGAATGATTACAAAGCCAGTATAGCATCTACTTTTTCATGAAAATAAGACAACATAACAAATGTAGGTCTATTATAAACAGTTAGTGCTATAGGGGAAAGAGCATGGAATTTGGTAAAGAATTTGGAGCCAGAAGATTTGAACTCTTGTATACGGTTCTGACATTTCCTTATCTCTAAAACAAGGATGATAAAACACAACTCACAGGGACACTGCAAAAATCAGACAAAATAATGCATGTAAAAAGGCATATCTATAGCCCGTTAGATGTATGCTGATGTGGCTCATTTGGTTGGAGTGTCATCCTGTACACTAAAGGGTGGTGGGTTGATTCATGATCAGGGCACATACCCAGGTTGCAGGTTCAATCCCAGGTCAGGGTGTTTATGTGGGAGGCAGCCAATCGATGTTTCTCTCTCACATCAGTGTTTCTCTCTCTCTCTCTTTCTCCCTTCCTCTCTCTGAAATCAATTTTTTTAAAAGGCATATATATAGACAGTGTACAAGCATTAAATGTTTCTCCCGGTAGATATTAAGCTCCTCAAAACTAGAACTAATCTGATTTTTTTATATTTTGTACCTAGCACAACCTAAGGCTCACAAAAGACTTTGATAAATGTGTGGTGAATAAATAAATGATCACCCAGAAACCCCACACACAAAGAATGACTGTTCTGACTGCATGTGTAGTTGATCAAGGTAACTTTTATAATATGCAAATGTCAGTTTAAAAAAGTTTATGCTGGTACAAACTTCCAGTTATATAATAAGTCATAAGGATATAATGTACAGCAAAGGTAACTACAGTTAAATTGCTTATTTAAAAGTTGCTAAGGTAGTAGATCTTAAAAGTTCTCATCACAAGAAAAAAACTTTGTAACTATGTATGGCGATAGATGTTAACTAGATTTACAGAGGTAATAAAAAAAGGTTTATGCTAAAATATAAATGAACCAAATGTGTATTTATAAATATGTTCATTCTAAACATAAAATATATACACACAAAGAAGCACATTATTCAATAGTTCAAATATATTGAGTAAACAAAAATTATAAATGAACTGTGATTTTTTTAATGGAAACTATCACAAGCGAAGCACCTAAGATTCATTAAAGTACAAGCCAAATTCTTATTTGAAGTGATTATTTAACTTAAGAGAGTTCAATGCAGTGTTTTGTTATTATGGCTAAATATTTGTAACACATGATTACTCTTTAGCAAACCTTCTAGAATGCAGTTTAAATTTTATTTATAATAGCAAAAATCTTACCATCAAGTTGTAAAATCCTGCTATTGAATTGTAAAAATCTTACTACAAATTTTGGGGAGGAGGGCATATTGATTTTATAAATAAAAACTGTGTGAAGATAAGTAAAGGAAGTTGAGTTACCTGGGTCTATAGAGGCAATGACATAAGTGTTTTGTTTTAACTTTTTTGGCCTGAATAAATATTCTCATCCAAGGATCAAAATACAGAACAGACGTGTAGGCTCTGAATGACCATCTCTCTGGGAAACTGGAATAGAAAACAGCAAAGGCTATTAGAGGATGCAATGATGACACATCTTTTCAGAAGGAAATAAAATCAGGCTGTCAGGTTATGATGGGTGACAAGCAGCCTCAGGAACTTTTCTTCTAAACCTAATGACACAACACCAGCAAATCTTGCAACACTCACACACTTCATTAAGTGGGCCTCTTTACAAATAAGCAGTTGAATGGGAATACTTTTTTATTTTCCTTCTCGCATGTAATTGAAAGACAACTGACAGATTAAAGTAAAAGTAGTAACAAAATAAGGCAGACATCTAAGGACAGGGACCTACGTGAATAACCTGCACTTTGATTAGAACTGAACTTCTGTTGGCAAGTAACTGATTCCAGGCAGACTTACATCGGCAGTAGAAAATATACTTTCCATTACAGCTCTTGTCCTGGAAGGATAAGATCAAGCCAAATCAACAAAACAACCCCCTTGCTCTAACATAACAAAAGAATCTAGACCTGCATGAATAAAAACATTTCCATAAAATTATTGCTAATACAATAAAATGCTTCATTTGCTTTGAAAATTATGAACTAGAAACATAAAACTTCATTCTGTAAGTACAATAAGTATTAAAATAAGTGTTTATGCACAACTGAGAGGAGGAGTTCGATGACGTGATAAGTGAAAAGGAGGAGAAAAGAGAAAAATAAAGGATGGGAAGGCAATAAAATGGGAGAGGAAACAATAGAAAATAGACTACGCTGAGAAATCACTGTGTTGCTGCATACTAACAACTGCAGGGAACTTCTATATTAAAGTCCACTTATGAACTGTCAATCTTCTCCAAGACAACAAGAAATGCAGATCAAACACAAGCCCAGCCACGCTCCAGAAGTAGTGCTCTTTATCTACTGAATCCCAGGAAATGCTACCATGAGAAACTTCCAAGGCCAAATAGAAATCAGGGAGCAGTAAACCCATCATTTTTACAATCCTACCTCAGTCCAGGGGGAGACAAAGATGATGGAGAGGAAATATAAAACCTGTCCTCCAAGGAGGGACTGCTCAGTGGGGTCACACCACTGCCAGTTACTCTGTAAGAAAGGACAGAGCTCTCCAAAGAATTTACAAAAATGAAGACGAAGCCCATAAGAAACCCAAGGATTCCTGGTTGGCTGTAAGTTCCTTCAGGCAGGGTCCGAAGTTCATTAAAACACCAGGAATTTCTTTGAATTGTTTAAAAAGAAATTATTGGAAAGTAAGCCATGAGTAAAAGTTCCCAATATAAATTATAGAAAAGTATCTAGTCCATAGATATTATTCTATAAATACTAATGCACTTCTAATGTGACAAGAGGGGCTGTTTGGGTTTGGGTGTAGCACTACAATAATGTGGTTGATTTTAGTACACCAGGAGCCACACAATCAACTAAGTTCTCACCTGTTAAAAGAAATAAAAAAGTCACCTTGGGACACTATAAACATTTCAAGGACTTTTGCCATTACTCAAATGCTTTCCAGATCTCCTGATTTGAAAGTGCCCTTAGAGAGAATACAGCTCTTTCTTTTGACTGTCCTTAAAGCAAACACATCTCTATCATTTGAAGGTAAAAGTAATTCAAAGCCAAGTTTGAGAATTTGAGAAACATAGTAGGGGATCAAATTGGGTTAGATAAGTGAAGTCTGGAGGAATCCATGTGCAGCTTTCATATGGTCTCTCCCTCTAATTACGGGTCACACAGAACATACTCTTCCCCCAGCTATGAAAGTGCAGGAACATATGTGTGATGTCTCTGCCCAACGAAACCCATTACAGACTCAGCACTATGTGTTTTCATTGGGGGTTGGTCACATAGGCCCCCTCTGCCTAGCACATATCAAAGCTCCAGAGTCCCAGAAAAGAAGTAGGTTTTCAGTATAAACCATACTGTTTGCATAGTCTAGGCACACTCTGCCAGCTTTCTCTATTACAAAAAGGTTTATATCAATGTAGAGAATTGTTTATTAGCCAAGTTCCCAGAAGCCAGCACAAGACCAACCTTGTAAGCAAGGCTTAAAATGAATAGAAGCCTTCTATGTTAGCCCATTTCTACACACATGCCTACTTTTGAAAGTTCCTATTTATCTGTAACAAACAGAATGGCAATACCTCTTATGCTATTGCAACATCTGTGATAAAAAATAAAAAGAAGACAAAGAAGGTGAAATATAAAGTCTCTATAGGAAAGAGGTCACCCAATGTAACTTTCAAACTCCTTTATACTATGTAGAAGATCCTTCATGATCTGGCTCCCACTTAACTCTCCAGCCTTGTCTCTTACCAGTTTCCGTCTAGACCAGGGGTGGGGAACCTTTTTCCTGCCAAGGGCTATTTGGATATTTATTTATAACATCACTCCCAGGCCATACCAAATTATCACCTTAAAAATTAGCTATGAAAAAAGCTCCTAGACGTACTGAATTTTGCGTCGTGCCTGCAGTTGCCTTGGCAGGGCCAGACCAAATTATATGGCCCACAGACCGGACATTCCCTACCCCTGGTCTAGCCATTCAGGACCACTCTCAGTTCTTCAGATGTGGGATCAGGCTTTCTTATCCCCAAGCAGAGGCACGTTCAATCTTTTGGTCATTTTCGGTTGGCTCTTTCTCACCCATAAGAATGCAACTCGGCATCTCACTTTCTTTCGGAGCCTTTCTTCACTCCCCAAGATTGGGTAAATCACTCGCCTCTGGGTCTCCCCTTCTGCTTTTGTACACCCCCATCACAACACTTGCCACTCAGTGGTGTCATTGCCTGTTTATTTATCTGTATCCCCATGAGGCTATAAATTCCATGAGTCTAGCATCCTCATCAATAAATATGTGTTGACTAAATGATAATTATTCAGCACTCCCTTGGCTTAATTTAAAATGAACAACACGGGGCTCCCTAAGTAAGAAAGACTTTTAATGACTGATCATCTTCAATGATAATGCTATCAGTCTATAAATAAAGCCATTTGCTTGGGAAACTGGGATACAAAGGTACTAAGTAATCAATCAGGGTATCTTTAGAAGATCTAGGAAAAAATACTCTTACTCTCTACCCATCAAGAACTGCTTTGCATCTTTTTCAAAACGTGTTCTTCACTTGGTTCCTCCTAAATGTCTCTTTTCTGCCTTAAACTTTGCCAGAAGTGTCCATATCTTTATCTGCACCTCTCTCTCTCTCACTTTCTGTTTAACTGTCTATAATAAACTGAAGAACAAAAAACAGAGAGCGCAGACAAGACTCCCATTCAGCCCAACCACTGAGATCCATGTCTGATAAAATGACCCAGCTCCAGACACTAGACTAAATTAGATCCTTTTTGGAATATCTCTGAAGTGCCATATTTTTTATTCATATGAATACTGTATATTATTACAAAAATTGTTTTCTAAATTTACTGCTGAAGTCCCTACAAAATCTCTGAAGATTTCTTGAGGTTGAAATTAATAAGTCCTGTATTTTCTCGAATATAAAAAAGTGCATAAAGATTTTCAACTAGTTTAAATTCTGAACTATGAACGGGCAAACCAAATTTAATCTTAGGGTAGATTATACCTAAGAGACATGGAAACTCAAGAAGGTAATTTCAAAGAAAAGTTATAAGTTTTGCAAAGTAATGAGAGTACTTCTGTCATAACCACAGTGTGACAAGCCTCACAGGATAACAATTTGAAGCTGTAACTCTTGATATTCCCAGTCAGCTAAGACATAAATTAGAGACATTATGGAATGCTGCCCAATGACTGCCAATTTAGAAACACACTGTCAATGTGGCACCTAATTTCAAAAAATCACTTTGCACAAAATTTAAGTTCCGTTGCTCTGTATTATAGGATCAATCTCAGAGCTGTTTGGGGAGATGGATTTCGTTGGCCACCTGAGATCCTGCAATGGCAGGCCCATTTGATGACAGCCAATTCTACAACATGTCCTTTTTAAAATTAGAATCTCTGGCCCTAGCTGGTTTGGCTCAGTGGCTGGGACTTGGGCCTGCAGACTGAAGGGTCCCAGGTTCAATTCCAGCCAAGGGCATATACCTCCGTTGCAGGCTCGATCCCTGGGCTGGGGCGCAAGTGGAAGTTTAAGAGACTCCTCTGGCTACTACAGAAAGGTATGGGTAGAACAGGTTTTAGAGGGCCAAGGGTGGAAGCAAGGAGACCAGTGAATCAGCGGAAGGGCTCCAGGAGAGGCATGATGGTGGCATGAACCAGGACAGTAGCAGCTGAGCAGATGATAAGTGGTTGAATCTGGATCTATTTGAAGGTAAAGCCAGTATTAAATAAGCAAGGTAGAAAAACCCTCTAATTGCTGAGTATAAAGAATGAGAAAAAGGTAAGACCCGCAGATAGACACCTTGTGGAAATTCTTAAAGATTAAAAGAAAATCCCTAAAACTATCCAAGGGTAAAAATGAGTGCTTTACAAAAGTTCAGTAATTATATCTGCATCAGACTTTTCATGAACTACATGGATTCAAGAACTTAAATGAGCAATAAGTTCTGAGAAAAACTATTCTGAGCCAGTATTTCTTTATCTGTTTATACAAATGCTGATGGAAGTGACAAAGACACATTTAAGAATACAAAGATTTCAAAAGTTTGCCTCCAACAGACTTTGAAATAATTATTTGAGAATATAATCCAGGGGAGATGCCAAGATGGCTGCAGAGCAGGTGGAAGCTATACTCACCTGCTCCCAGTGCCCAATTAGATTTACAGCTAAATTATAGAGCAATCAGCCTGAATAACCAACTGAAGGTTAGCTGAACTGAACTATTATAACCAAGGATTTACAGAAGAAACCCCATAGAGACTGGTAAGAAGGGCTGAGATGTGGAAAGGGCTAGCTGCTGCACCCACATGTGGTGGCTGAGAAGCTGGAGGGATATCTTGGCTGCAAGATTCCCTCACTCCAGGAGTGAAGGGTCTCAGCTTCAAGCAAGGATCCCCAACTCAGAGCAACAGAGACAGGAAGAGGAGTCCACACAGCATCTGGTG